GCAAAAGAAGGGCGCTGGGTGAGTCACAGCAGCCCACCACGTCAGACCTGCCGGCAGCGGTGGCCTGGACCAGGCACTCATCTCACAGTGGCTCACTGAGAAGATGATTCGCAGATTTGATACACCAGCCAAACAAATCCACAGGTTGCAGGCGATGGTCTTACAGGCAGGAGGGCTCCAAGCATGCTAGTGGTGGGCTCCTGAACATCACTAGTGATAGCTATGGAGCCGAAGTGACAATTATGCTAAGGACACCTGCGTAGCCGCTCCGTACATAATTTATGAGAGAGAGCTCAACGGACCACGGTGGTCATGGGTTGTTGCCAAGGCGACCTTGGGTCCTTGGCGCCTGGGGAAATCTGCACACCATAGGCCAGTGGAGAGACCAGAACAGGGTGCCAGTCATTTGCAATGTTGGGAGGCCAATGCAATATGGCCGCATCCCGAAACATGGTGACTGACACAGGTTTTCTGTCGGGGAGGTAGACGCCCGGAATCATGCCGGTGTTGTTGGTGACCTCTTTCCCGATAGCTCCTGCGCGATGTGGAGTGTCAACGCAAGGCAGTTCTCGGACGTCTTGCCCTTTTTCAGGCGTCCCATCCTCTGCCTGTTGCCCAGTTCTAGGTGCAGCTGCGGCCTTTGCTCCTGTCTTAACCAGTGGCCCATTGTTGGGTCTTTTGGGCGCCAGTTCTCCGCGGATCCCTGACCTTCTTGCGCAGCAAAACACCCGAAATAAGGGTTAGACTCGCGCGTGTTCTTGGCCACCTTCCTGTTATCTTTCACTAGTGGCTCGGTGAGGCGATGTTCCCTCGCGGCATTTGCGCATACTGTGACTGCTGACCTGAGGATGCGGCTGCCGCCTCGGGTTCGGTAGTATATGCACCGGCCGCGGGGAAGATAACTTGCAAATGCTGAGTTGTCACCTGGTTCAGTCCGTAAAACTCGACCGGAAAGGGGCTTTCTGCCAGAAACCTGTGTGGATACGGGCCTGTCGGGCCTGCGACTAATGCGGCGACTCCTGGCTGCTTTCGAAACGCCCCGGGTTGCTCGAGGTCGATTCCCTTTGAGGAAATTGTTGCGTAGCGTGCCTTCAGAGGAGGAGCCAAGAATATCCGGGCCGGGCCCGGGAGGCGGATCCTCACGCCTTCCCAAGCCGTCAGTAGGCCAATATTGTGTCTCCCAACACCACTAGTGGTCCTAGCATATGCAGGGCTGCGCGCGAGTCCGTCTCGTAATGCTGTTGTCGCTTGTCATCCACCAGGTTGGGGGGTGCTTCCCAGCCCAAATCTCGATGGAAGCAATTTCGCAACATCTCGAATGTCGTGAGGCCTCTTTGCAACTTCTTCATAAGTTCCCTCACTTGTGCAGAATTCTTCTCTTCATGGAAGAAACCAAATTTACGCGCTGCGTATTCCAAAGCTGGCGCGAAGGGCTGCAGCCCTGGAAGATATAGGCGGAGCTAAAATGGATGGCTCACATTCTGCAGGTACATTATAAATTACGAAATTTGGCTTGCTGGCCTTTAATCCCAATGCCGCTCTCTGAACAAGTGAGCCGTACGGCAGCGCCGGCCACTGACTGAGGAAAATTCGACTGCGGCTTCTCGGTGGTTTTCCGCTTTCCTCCTTTGCCAGAATGACTGACGCTACCCTCTGCGCCTGTGTGACTGGCCGAATATTCCCGGCCAGACGAGGGGCCGGCCGACCCACTTGGAAGCAGACTTGTTGGGGAGCTTGGCTCTGGCCTTTGAGGCTCGGCCTGGTGATCCGCTCCCTGCTGAGCCATTTTGCTATCGCTGTCAGTTGCATCATCCAGACCGAGCAGGTCTGCAACCGCGTCGGCGTGGAAGGTCATTTTTCAGAACCTATACAGTATCCTTAGGGAGCTTAACAAGCCCCCGCTATCCCAGATGTTGCAGATATCCAGAGCTCTATGGACAGCGTCCAGAGTGGATCTTTGTACATGCGGCGGGAGAACATGGAGGATACGCATTTTCCCGGACAGTCGGGCTGCAAATGACTTCTCCCGGTTCGTCGGCTTCCACTCTAGGCCATAGGTTTGCACTTGTTGTGGCTCCGCAGCTGTCCCTCCTTGCTCTTTCAGCAGACTATCCATGAGGATTAAGCCCAGTTTGGGAGTGAAGCGTACCAAACAGATTGTTCCCATATGCCCTTGGGGGGAGGGAGGGGGTGTTGGGCGGTGGTGGGCCTCGGCCCCTTTCCTATGTATGACGCCACCCTCTTGGGTTTTGGATGGCCTGCGTGTCAGCTTGCTTTCAGTCTATCACATGTCAGTGCGGTGAGCTTGTTCAGTTGAGCATGTTGCGGTACATGTCCTTTGACGTTTTGAGTTTCTTTCACATGCTCTGTTAGTACACGAAATTCTCACGCACGGTTTTTGAAAACTCCTTTTAGTTTGCCCTTTTTTCATGGATTGATTTTCCGGACTTGTTGAATTAATCTTTGCTGAAACATTTTGGGGCAAACGGGAGGTGGAGATTAGATGGGCCAATTGGTCCTGTTAGTTTGATGTCGGGGGGGCGCCTTCCAGGCAACTTCGCGCAATGGTTTCAGGGCTCTGACCCATGTGAGTGACTGCAATGGCCACCATGGATGAACGTCTCTGGATACTACTGGAGAAAACTGGCTTTTCATACTTGAACGAGCTCAAGGTGCATTTCTTGACACCCTGGCATGTGGCATGCGCTGTTGATGATCTTGAGGACACGGTCCTGCTGGTGAGACAATTGAAGCCTGGCGTGTTGGAGTCTGAGGAAAAGAGGGAGGCGAAACATGTCTGACAATAACTAACGAACAATACGTCTCTTCTTAAACGTGTGCAGTCCAGACTTCTAGCGAAATCCCAGCGAATAGAAGCCTTCGCGCGTGAGGCGCCGGATGCCTCATCGGTGTATGAACGACAGGTCAGTGGTTCGATCGAGCTCCAGAAGCAAGTTAGCAAGTTTCAACACAGATGGTTGGCCAATGGCGGTGGAACAGCAGCAGAGGCCGAGAAGGCTGCGAAGAAATTCTGGGGCACTGTGCTGGCGCAGATCATGCTGGAGGCGAATCTCTCTATATGTCAACTGAAATCAGACACCGAGGAGCAGAGGGCGACCTATGCTCTCAGGGCTCTGGGATCACGGAGATCAAAGACCTTGAGGAACCGGGCCAGGACTTGGAAAAAGGCTCGTGAGTGGTTCCTCAGGGTGAAGAACCGCCCTTTTCCGAAGGATGCTGCAGACGCAGTTGATTATATGACCTTTCTTGAACAAGATGTGGGTACAAAAACTTGCATTGGCGATTTCATGGCTGCACTCTCGGTTCTTGAAGATGCAGGGCAGGTTCCCACATCCCAGCAGTTATGCAAGGATAGGCTTGTGGTGGCCTCGTCGCAAAGTTTCGGTTCGGAGGTCTTGGAGGGCAAGACAGCAAGAGCTCAGGCTCCACCTTTGACGGTCGCAATGCTGTTATCCTTGGAAATGTATGTGGTCTCGAGCTCAAACCCGAAGTGTGCCCGTTTCCTGGCATGGACCTGCTTGATTGCGGTATGGGCATGCGTGCGGGTGTCTGACCTGCAAGGTGTGGATGTTTCTAGGCTTCAGCTCTTCAGCAGTGGGCTCAAAGGTTTTCTGGTTCGGACAAAGACTACGGGCCATGACAAGAAGGTGCTGGAAGTCCCGTTTTTCATACGAAGGGATGCCAACTTATCTGGGCACGACTGGCTTTCGAAGGGATACGACCTCCTGCAATCCTTGGGCCAGCTCGAGAGATGCTATCTCGTGTGGCAGGCTACGGACGATATGCAAGAACCCCTTCATAAATTTGCACGTCCTGAGGTGGTCTCGAATTACTTTCGCCTTATATGGCAGAAGCTTCAAACACCTTTCAGAAAGGTTGGCGAGAGCAAATGGAAGCTGGCAGGTGGGACCTCTTTGGTGTGTCATGCCTGTTTCCTGTTTTGGACTGGACATTCGATGCGACGTGTTCTGCCTACAATTTCTGCAGTGTTTGGCGAGAGCAAAGAGAGAAGGAATTATCTTGGTAGATGGAACGTCAATGCTCAACACAGCTCTGACTATGTGCACACATGCAGGCAAATTGTGCATGATGTGCAAGGACTCGTATGCGATAAACTATCCGGCGGAGCTCCGGGCTATGAGGAGGAAGAACTCTTCGCACAGCTTGGAAGCTGGCTCAAGGCACGAGGCGAAGATCCTGTGCCCATTTTGAAGCCGCATCGGGTTCTTCGCAAGGTCCAAGGATGTTATGTCTTGAACCAGACGTGGCCGATTCTGGCTGATCCGAGTACAGGTCTTCCTCCAGAACCTCCGGAAATTGTTCCCCGAATATGAGGGGTCAGTGCTGGGTGGATCCGAGCAGCTGCCATTGTTTCGAGGAATTGTGGGAAGTGGGTCCCAACGTGGCTGATTCTTTCTGCAAGCTTTGCTATCGTGAACGTCAGGTAGAGGCCTCATCCAGCTCTGGTGATTCCTCCTCAACGGACGTAGGGGAAGCTGACTAGCATCGCGCGTGGGGCCCAGGTGTGCAGCTTTAGCAAAGAGGACCGATGTGTGTTTCTGACTTGACCGATCAATTCTTGACTGTTTGCCGCAAAGGGAATTGCGCATGTTTGACATACGTTCTGCTTGGTGATCCATAAACACCCGCCTGGCTTGTGCGTTTCTGACATTACCGGCTGCAGGTAACTTGAAACATCATCACCTTTCAGCGCAGTCTGTCATTTCTTCAGTTTCGGGGGAGGTATGGGCCTCCCCCCGGGATATAACTGAATTACTGTCAGTGTCACTTCAGAGCATGTCAGGACATTTGCAGAGTGACTTTCAGCAAGCTTTCAGTTTCGGGGAACTTTCAGATGGGGCATTCATCCCCGTGTCAGCGCATTCAGCTTTCCCTCTGTCAGTGATTCAGATTCTTGAGCACGGGGGATTGTGCCCCACTGTCAGAGTTTTCAGCACACGTATCAGACTTGAGCAATCATGGCCGTTACGCCTGAACAACAGCGGGAGTATCTCCGCACAAATCTCGATTCAGATTTCCTTTACTTGCTCGAAGAGCATGGCGTGGACCTTGCTTTGCAATATCAGGTGGGCCAGCGTTATAAAGCAATCAAGACTTTCGCCGTCTTCGCAGACGACCGCAGTGCAGTCCGCGCAGCAATCACGGCCGATTTCAGCATCAGGCCGGACACGGCAGCCGATCGAGCAAGAATCGCCTGCTTGGTCACCGCATGGGAAGCCGCAAAGCTGATCCGCGAAGAAGAAGCCAAGCTCAAGGCAGAGGCCAAAGTGCTAGGCATGCAGAAGCCGCTGGCATCGTCAGACCGTGCAGCGATGAGGATTGCACTTGAATCCGTGAAGGGTTATGCTGTTTCAGAATCTGAGGAACCTGCGGCTGAGTATTTGGCCCACAAGCTGGAGCAAATCGAAAACGGGGAGCCGACTGGGTCCTACTTGGATGAGGTCATTTCTCGCAAAGAGGCTGGGGCACTTCAGTTGCAGACCTCCTTGGATAACCAGGGCCGGCTTCGGATTACTCGTCAGAAGCCCAAGGGCAAGCTTCCTCAATCCACCGAGGAGCTCCGAGCTAAGATCCGTTTGGAGGCAGCTACCTGGATCATGCTTTTAGCCAAGTGTAAGGGGCGTGTCTATCTTCGTGGTCTGGAGTTGAGCAGCTTCGACCGATACTTGGAGTACTTGCTGGGGGATCGCTGCTACTCCATGCAGGTATCCTCGGGTATGCCCTCAAGTACTTCTTCGGGGCAGGATCGCCGTACCTTGCCAGTCCCTTGGAGTATGAAGTTTTCATCTACAGCCGGGGGGGGGACCGGAATCGGGGTTCGCATCGTTTTCACGTTTTCAAATTGAAAACGATGTTATTTTTACACAACGACTTCAAAAAAATCTGGCCTCCTGGAAGCACGTTTTGGCTGACGCTGAAAGAAGTTTTTCGGAGACCTATTTTGGCCCATTTTGCAGTAGAACCCATGGGAATTGTGTCAGCGGCTGTTCATTTCTGGCCAGGGCTGTAGCAAGCAAATGAAAAGATCATGTTAAAAAATGTCAACTGCAAATTTCCTGTTATCGATGAAACTGTGGTGTTGTTTTTTTGGACGGTCTGTAATACTCAAGGCTGTATGTATTGTTCACGGGTTCATGAAATGTGACTATGTTTCTTGTTGATTCCCATGTTAAGATGTGCATTTCCTAATACCCTTATATTTTCTCCATTCTGCAAGAATTTACTTCTTCATTACTTCGAACTATTATTTGCTATAGCGAATTCTATGAATTGCCGGCATGTTTTGGTTCAAACAGTTGGAAAAGGGCTAGTGCAAAAATCTTTCCATTTTGTTTAAGCGTTAAACCCTAAGCCCTAAAGCTTAAACCCTAAACCCCGCATGAAGAACCTTAGGATGAAAGCGGTTTAACGTGGTTAAAGGGCCTTAAGGAGGCTAAGGGGCCTAAAGGGGGCTCAAGGGCCTTAAGGGGCTTAGTGAGGTCCCTAGAGGCCTTAAAGGGGCCTGGAGGGAGTTTTGGGTTCTTACCTGTGGCTTAAGGCCTTAAGGGGCCAAGAGCCTTGAGGGTCTCAGAGCCCTTACGGGCCCCTAAGCCCTGAAACCCTAAAACCCTGTAAGTTGAGCCTTAATTATTAAACCCTAAATATCAAACCATACATACCAAGCCTTAAATACCAAATCCCAAATGTCAAACCTTAAATAAACCTGAAATACTAAACTCTAAACCCTAAAACCATAACCCTATACTTCAGTGACCCGTTAGGATTTTGACAAAAATGATCAAAACCTAGAGCTGTTGGTTCTTGTGAAAACGAGGCTGCCCTTTGTGCCAACAGCAAACACAGACATTGTACCGAACTTCAACAGACGTTGAAGAAATGTACAATTTCGTGTAACCGGCCAGAGACTTTTGGACGGCCAGAACAAATGAAAACATATTGAGTTTTGTTGAGCGAAATCCATGAAATCTGGGAATTTCCGAAAATTCCGGGAAAATCGCTGAGAGGGCCCGCGAAAAAACAAGTTCCTGCCAAGTTCCTGCCAAGTTCCCACCAAGTTCCCGCCAAGTTCCCGCCGAGTTCCCGCCGAGTTCCGGCCGAGTTCCCGCCACCGCCCGTGAGTTCCCGCCCAGTTCCCGCCGCCGCCCCGTGAGTTCCGCCAAGTTCCCGCCGAGTTCCCTCCCAGTTCCCTCCCGGTTCCCTCCCGTTCCCCCCCCCTCCTGTTTGTGGTCCAAATTCCCGCCCCGGGCCTCTCCTGGATTTTCTCAGCGATTTTCTCCGAATTTCCGTAAATTCCTAGATTTTGCATGATTTGGTCAAAAAACTTACATTTTGCTCATGAGTTGTGGCCTGCAAAGCATATACCCCACACAGCTAGTACGTTAAATGACCATATTGGGTCCAAAAACTGCGTTTTTGTGCTACAGAGTCTGCGTTGTCTTGAAATTCGATACAATGTCTGTGTTTGCTGTTGGCACAAAGGGCAGCCTCGTTTTCACAAGAACCAACAGCTCTAGGTTTTGATCATTTTTGTCAAAATCCTAACGGGTCACTGAAGTATAGGGTTATGGTTTTAGGGTTTAGAGTTTAGTATTTCAGGTTTATTTAAGGTTTGACATTTGGGGTTTGGTATTTAAGGCTTGGTATGTATGGTTTGATATTTAGGGTTTACTAATTAAGGCTCAACTTACAGGGTTTTAGGGTTTCAGGGCTTGGGGGCCCGTAGAGGCTCCATCCTTCATCGCAGCTTCACTCACAACTGTTCTGGCAAAGCCACCGCTACAGAAAAAATGTTTGAAATCAGTGTTGGGGTTGGGGATCTTGAGGCTTAAATCACTAGTTGTTGGAGCTGTGTTCTTGAATTATGTTTTTTTAATGCCACATCCAGCTCATGCATGTTTTGTTTTAAGCAGCTTTAAAGGTGTACCTGACAAGATTGCTGCCTAGTGGTTATGTTCGTGGTCAGTGGTCATGACACATTTGTGGTATCATTAATGCTATTTTGTTGCAAAGCAAGTCATGTTGCCAGAATTGCACGATTTGAGGCTATGGTGAGAAACATTACAAAACAAGTTCATTGGCGCCACCATCCAACAAAGCCAAAAACATGTACACAAATGCCACCAAGATCAAACGTCAGACAGACAGACAGACATAACCAGGTTCATGTTGGTTTAGCTCGCAGTTTTACTGCGCAGAGGTCTAAACAACTATGCATTTTTTCAGGTTTAGGCGCAAGTGTAGCGTGGCTTAAAAAGTCCCTTCCCAGAAAAAGCATTTTTTTTTTGGCGCAAGAAATCATGCCTCCAGGGCAGAACCCTATTGAAAAAGCACGCGTTTGGACTTGTTTCGGCTTGTTT